TACAGTTTCCTCTTTGTTATCAGGTTTTTTTTTATTGGCTTTAAAAAACATTATGTTTGTGGTTTCAATTCCCCAGTAAGGGTCGCCTTGAAAATAATCTGAATTAAAATAAACCGGAAACAGCTGCGTAAATAAAGTGAAACTTTATAAGATCGCTGTGCCATATTTATCAACCTTAAGAAGTTTTTCGTGGCGTCGGGCATGGGAAATCTAATTGATGTTCCGCAGTCTTATCGCACTGTTGCCATAGTGTTTCTTCATAATTACTTCAGACTAAAAAAGCGAAAATGCCCATTTGTCTCTTCGTTTCTTTGTTCTATTTGTGTGAGGAAATCTTTGACATTATATAGAGAGACTCTTATCGGGGAATATATATATATACACAAGAACTCTGGAAAACATCATTTTGCACTCGTATCAGCAAAGAAATAAGTTTTCCGTAATTAGTTACTAACGATTGCAGTTAGTACTCCTTCTATTTTCAAAGGTAATTCCCACTCCACGTGAAAGTATCTTTGTATCTTTTTATCTACTAACACAGAAATAGCAGAAATGGCGATAGAAAAAAAAAAAAAGCTGAAAAACATAAAAACAAAGCAAAACAAAACAACAGAGAAGAAACCGCGCTCAAAAAAACTTGTTTTGTAAACTCAACTTCCTGTATGCGAATCGCATAAGATCGCTTATGTATCCATGACAGTATTTGTGAGTTGCTTGTGCATACAGATACAGATACAGATACGGATATGCAGTTTTTTTGAGTTTGAAATACTGGTATACATGGCACTGCAATTGTATTCACTTTCCATTTACTTTTGATTGTTCTTCAAAAAGTGCCATTAAGATTCTAAAAATGAACTCGACGGCCCGCTAAATGAATGAATGAACAATTAAACAGCAAACAAAACAGACAGAGAGGGAGAGAGAGGAAGATCATGACTCACCTGAAGCCAAAATCTTACCGGCTTGAACAAGTTTCTTTATTTGGCTATGACAGGCTTTCTGGCTAAAACTTGACCAGCCTGACCTTTACCATTTAGGCCAAGAATCGCATGAAATAAATCTTACCTCCAGTTCGCACTTGCTCGATCTTCCTCTTTCGCGCACTTTTTGAATGTCGCTGGAATTACTTATTGTCTTATTTAATTACATCAGCAATCTCCCCGCCGTTGTCTTCTTAGGTTCAATGTCCCAAGCCCAGACACAAAGATATAGAAAATACTGAAAAACAAGAGGAAACGCTATAGTCGAGTGCCGCGACTATAAGATACCCGTTACTGTTTTACACAATTTTAAAATATTAATTTTGCTAGTGGAAATTCACAAGGCGCCACCTATTGTCAGAGGAAGTATGTTGAGTATGCTTATAGTGACGTCACTTCCCATGTGAGGCCTTATAACCTTAATTTCTTCATAAATAGCGCAATAATGTTCCGATTTGAAAAACCTTTAATAAATCGATAGATATTAACAGAAATAAGTTATACAAGGTCAAACAAAGGCATTCATAATAATATTATAGACGCCACAGTTTTCCGCGGTTTGTAGGCGTTAGAGTGGGCGTGGCCTAATGCAACTTCGTGGCAAGTTGCAGAGGCATCTACTAAATATGTGTTTCTAAGCAAAATTGTGTAGCTCTTATAGTTTTTGAGATTTTTGCATTTTTGGTTTTCGGATTTTGTGGGCGTTAGAGTGGGCGTGGCTTGATCGGAAAAAACAATTCGCATTGGGGGCATCATAAAAACCTACATGCTTAATCCGAACTTTCTATTACGAATAGTTACCGAGATATCAGCTTTTCTAGAAAATCCGAAAACCGTCTTTTGAGCCTTGTGGGCGTATGGGTGGGTGAGGCCGGATAGTAGTACTACTATAAGATGCGCTGTCATCTAAAAGATTATACTTTCTGAATTTCAACTTTCTAACTGCAATAGTTCCTATGATTTCAGTAATTTTAGTTTTTTGCGATTTGTGGGCGTTAGAGTGGGCGTGGCAGGATGCTGTAATAAACTTGCGCTGTCCCGGGACCTCAAGAATCTTCATGCTTAATCTCAACTTTGTATCTGCTATAGTTCCTGAGATCTCAGCGTTCATACGGACGGACGGACGGACGGACGGACGGACGGACGGACGGACGGACGGACGGACGGACGGACAGACGGACATGGCTCAATCGACTTCGCTATTGATCCTGATCAAGAATATATATACTTTATAGGGTCGCAAAAGCTTCCTTCTATCTGTTACATACTTTTCAACGAATCTAGTATACCCTTTTACTCTACGAGTAACGGGTATAATCACTTAGAGAGAGAGAGAGAGAGAGAGAGAGAGAGAGCTAAAGAGAAGCATGCTTAGGAACCTGTGCGTGATTTGCATCTTCATTGACGCTGAGTAGTCGGCGGAATAACCCACAAAGGGCGTGAGCACGGAACTAATGCCAATTGATCAAGATCAGGCCACAAGGTGCACTATAAAAAACAGTAATTTTAAATCATCGACGCTCTCTGAATAAAAATTAACTTGTTTTATGCCTTACGTCTGAAAATTCAATTAGCTGCGAAATTTGTTTGGTAACTTTTCCATTAAATTGGAGAGGCAGATAGCCGCCCTCCTCTTAAAAGCTTTTACCATAATCCAACTCTCCTTTTTATCCCTATCCAACTGGCCAAAACCTTATGCAACCATCCACCACCTGTCACTGCCACAAACTGCTGTCCTGCTTTTATGTTTAATATTCGAAAAATGCGAGCTCAACTCATTTTGATGGGTTTCTGTGGTAGCTTTCACCGTTCATCCTGACATATATTTCATAAATTACATACATTTTTGGGACAAAACTCAATTTATGTAATACCCTTTATCTCACCCTGGGAGTTAATTTGCCCTTTAATTAACTCACATTGTGTAATTCATGCGAGAGTTGAGTAGAGTTGACAATCATCCGTACATTAAATTGTTGTGCAAAGAGGAAATATGTTTTTATTTCCCGTGATAGATCTGATTAATGAAAACATTTCCGATTGTGCTCCAATTAGAGCTGTAATTCAGCAATGGCATCATTAAAGCTTGTTCACTTTTGCTGATCTCTAGAGTAAACATTTCCTGATACATTCGTTTGGCTGGCTGCTGGCTACCTCAACAAGAGAGCAGCGCAAAATTTGTGTTTGGCAATTGGCCAGAAGAGAAGTAAGGCACGAGAAAAAAAAAGTTTGCTCTTTCATCATACTTTTATCCAGGGACAGCTGCAGCATCTGTGACATGGAAAACCCTCTAGAAATACAAAACATAAAGCTGAAAAGAAACAAAATTTCAAAATGTGGAACATGGAAGCAATAAGTGGGCAGCATTTTACTTTTTTTGGGTCAACGGGCGGCAGTAAGTCCAATAAAAGGGGGAAGGAGGATAATTGATTAACTGGTCAGTGGGTAAAGTGCTGCAGCCAGAAGTGCAGCTGCACCAGCTAGTGTGCTAAATGGTAGCCTCTAAATCACACTTAAACGGTCATCCATCCAACCATAAGGGTAAGCTTCCAAGTAAATCCTCAATTAGTTGCCATTTGCATGGCTTTTCTAGCTCGAAAGATGGGGAAAGAGGTATAGGCGTTATAGCAGTAGCTGTAGCATTAGCTTTTTGCTGATTTTCATATTTTCTTCTTGTGAGCCACAAAGGCAATCGATAAATTTCTTCCTTTTTTTTTTTTTTCTTTCTGCCCCTTCTCCATCTGATGGATGCGTGCGAGGAGGCGTGTTTAAGTGGCGTCGCCTTCATTGTTGGTTAGGTTATAGCTGCTGGCTTGGCAGTAGTGGTAGTATCGCATATTAATGAAAGGAAAATCGCCCGGCGATGTGAGCAACTGTTACTGCGCTCACCCTAATGGTTATTGCGATGACGATGACGATGCCATTGGAATCTTTTTTGTATCTTGACAAGGGAATAGCAGTTTCATTAGCCCCTTCCTTGAGAGCTGCTGGGTTGTGTGGTCTTGTCACGCGTTTTATCGGAAAAGGGAATGGGCCATGAATTTGAAATTCATTGTTATGTATTCTTAAGATACAGCATCGTGTCACGAAGGAAATTATCTTAAATTTATAAATATTTTAGACGTTTTCATTTAGTCAATTAATAAAGGTGGTTAACCAAAAGTTTTGTCATAAATTTATGATTATTATTTGGTTTTGCGATTTAACCAAACCATTCACATTCTCTTTTATTATTCCACTTTGCTTTCAAACTATATTTTTAATAGTTATTGGAAAAAACCATTTATAATATTCTTATCCCAATCCCAGATAGTTTTAGTGGCAGACACTGGGGTAGATTTTTGTGGCTTTAAATCATTTTCCACCCAAACGGAAACTAAAAAGTATGCTACATAAAATTTCTCTCTAAAAATCAAATCCGAAATCCCACCACCACTGAATAGTGTGACAATTTCATTCCTAATCCTCTGGTATGTGCCAGTTTTCTTGAGCTTCAACCTGTCAGGCTTGTGTCACGATTGCATCTCGAATAAGGACATCCTCCGTTGCTAACCCAACGACGGGCACATATCGCCATCATCCTCACATGGACAAGTGCCTGAGTGTAGAGCAAGCTTTTAATAGAAGACGGCGACAGCGAGCATCCTTCTCGTCCTGCGGAAGTCTGGGCCAGTCGGAATAGGGCTGGGAAGTGGTGGGTAGTAGGTGGGTGGCTGGGTTACCGCCTTCCGTAATTATCTTTTTCCCTATATTTTTTTTTCGCTCCATCTTCGTCGCATGTTGCAACGCATGACTCGCGACTCTTCTGTTTGAGCTCAATTAGTGTGGCAATGGGGCGAACATTTCAGGAAGTAATTGTCGGCGTCATCAACAGGGGACTTGTACTCTATAGGGGATTGTGCGATAAATGTGTGTGTGTGTGAAAGTCCCTAATGACAGTTCCGTGGGACAACCTATGAACTCTGAAAGTCAACGCCAATGCTAAGCCATTTCTCTCGTTTCTTTTCTATTTTCCAGGATATGCCTCAAAGCTGATCGATTGACCGAGTGAACGATTGCGCCGCAAGTTGGTTAAATGCTACATAATGTCGGCCAAGCACATCGAACAGTATACGAATCCCTCCTTTGAACAGGAGTCCGACCCGCCGCCTCCCTCAGGGGGCGTGACAGATGTGGGAGCAGGCACCATCAACAGCAGCAACAGCAATAGCAATAATGCCAACGATGCCGGCACGGCAAATCGCAAAGGTCACAGGTGAGGAAATCGCTGCAGTTGCCAGTTGCCAGCTGCCAGTTTCTTGTTTCCTTGTTTTGGGACATTAGCCCACCCCCTTCAAGGAAAGGATATACTATTTACCTAAATTGACACTTGCCATGGGCAAACAAACAAAAAAAAATATTATTTGCCTATTGCTTTTGCCCCATATCATAATAATTAGGTTCGAGGTGGTTGTGGGGTAACAAAAACTTCTGGGACACGTTTAGTGGCACGTGGTGGAGCTGGGATGGTGGCTTAATAATTCATAAGACTGCACCGCCTTCGCCCCATCAAATCCAATCGATAACAGTCGATTACGATGAGTCGGTCAAGTTTGAAATATTCAAACCCAAGCCCAACCAGCAGGAAAAAGGAAAGCGTGACAAACAAGTCCAGGGTGAGCACGTGAGCTTGAAGGCTCGACTAGCGACTCGCTCGATTCGCCAACTGCTACCGCAGTCATCCGCGTGCACTGCCAGTTGTAGGAACTCCGGAAAAGCCGTCGAACGGAGAACGAGAACGGGAAATCCTGAAAGGCCAGAGGGAGAGCCAGTAGAGAATTTGTGGTTGCAGCAGCAGCTGCCAAGCCAAACTCAAGTCAAGTAAGCCGCGGGGCAGAGAGAGAGAGAGTAGAAAGTGGTCTGTAGAAGGGGGGACAGTGTGTTGGCCACGGGGAAGGGAGATAGAAAATGGTCTGTAGGAGGGGGGCAGTGTGTTGGCCAACAGCCCAAAGAGCTTGACATTGAGTGGGTCCCAATGTCCTCGCCCTCGGGCGTCCTTGGGCCGTCCAACGCCAAGTTCTAGGCCGCCTTTTAGACAAGCTGACAAAAAAGACACCAAATACTAAAGCAAGGTTGCAACTTTGAATACCCTGGCCTATGGTGAAGTAAATTAATTTTTTATATAACATTGAAAGGATGCAACTGAAAGTTTTATATTTTTCTTGACATAAATGGTTTAGATGAGGACGCAGCCTAATGGACCAATAGATCAGTTTTATCCAACAATATACCAATAGGTCGGTTGTCATAAAATGTTTGGAAATTAGCCCTGAAATTGAACGTTTTTAAGGAGTTTCGGCTTGGGGTATGGCAAATACCCAATAAAAAATGCACAAATTCAGCAGCTATTGTCAAATCCTTCTTGTTGATCTGACCACAGAAACAATCTTACTTGCAGGCGCCAGGAATCGATGTACCAGATGACCGGCCTCTACTCGGAGACGAATAGCGGCGATGACAGCAGTATAGATGCGGCCCTTGACCACGATAATCAGCCCCATGCCACGTCATACCTGGCCGGAGATCAGCTGCCGTCGTTGGGAGCGGGCGGCGGTGGGCCAGTGAGTGCAGAAAGTGTGACGGTCAAGTGCCACAGTCGACAGGCGTCGGCAGGTAAATGCCCGGCTGATCCGGAGGAGGACTTCGATGAGGAGCAGTTCCGATCAGGCGATTGTGGCATCCTAAACTGTCGGCCCTATGGAATCCAGCGCTTCGCCCGCATCAAAATCTTTGTCCTGTTGCTGTCCCTGCTGGTCATGATGCAGCAGGCCCTCAGTTCAGGTTACATTAACTCGGTGATCACCACGATCGAGAAACGTTTCGAGATCCCTTCCAGCTATTCCGGGCTAATAGCCTCTAGCTACGAGATCGGAAACGTGATCACGGTGATCTTCGTCAGTTACCTGGGCAGCAGGCGTCACATTCCCGTGTGGATTGGCATTGGAGCAGTAATCATGGGCATTGGCTCGCTGGTCTTTATGGTGCCGCATTTTACAGGCGAACCCAATCCTGGTATTGCGATCGTCAACAAAACCAGCGATAACATTTGCAAGAGTGCCTTGGTGAGAGACCAGGACATGGATCTAGGTCGCCTGTCCAGTGGACTGTCCAATCAACCATTGGCGCCCCATACTCTACGGGAGGACAACTGCCTGGAGGGCAAAGCCTCTACCACGGGTCCCGTTTTGCTCTTCGTGCTAGCCCAGCTGCTTCTTGGCTGCGGTGGTAGTCCACTTTTCACTCTGGGCACCACTTACATAGATGATCACGTCCGGACGGAGAGCTCTTCGATGTATATCGGCTGCATGTACAGCATGGGAGCTTTTGGACCTGTTGTGGGATTCCTGCTAGGCGCCTACCTGCTTTCCTTTCACATGGACTCACTCTCCTCCACCACCATATCGATTAGTGAGTAAAATCTTTATTAAAATCAATAAAAATTGCCTTACAATTAGAAGCAATAAATACCTTATTTAAATTATTCAAATTCCAAAAAAGTTCAGTTTTTCATTTTAACAAAATATTTTTGAATTTATTATTTAAAATTATAGATAATTCCTTAAGAAACAGGAAACTTTTGAAGTATTTAAAGAGTTCTTTAAGTTCAAACCATTCAAAGCTATTTTTAATGAGACTGCAAAGGAAGTCAAACTTTATTAAACCTATTGATTTCTTCTTGCAGCTCCCGGCGACAGGCGTTGGGTGGGCATGTGGTGGGGAGGTTTCCTGCTATGCGGAGTCATTCTGCTGGTGGTGGCCGTGCCCTTCTTTTCATTCCCCAAGGTCCTGGCCCGCGAAAAGAAGAAAATACGAAAGAGCAGCGTGGTGCAGCCAGTTTTGCCAAATAACTCCGGAGCCACTGTGGCGACAGATGAGATGGGCAAGGTGAAGAAGTTGGAAATAGTGGCCGTGACCAGCAAGGAGGACCAATCGCAGACGCCCAAGGTGGACACGGGCTATGGGAAGGACATCAAGGATATTCCGCAATCGATGCTGCGCCTTGTTAAGAATCCCGTGTACATCGTGACCTGCCTGGGTGCCTGCATGGAGCTAATGATCGTTTCCGGCTTTGTGGTCTTCCTGCCCAAGTACCTAGAGACGCAGTTCAGCTTGGGCAAAAGTCAGGCCAACATATTTACCGGATCAATCGCCGTGCCAGGAGCATGCATTGGCATCTTTCTTGGAGGCTGTATCTTGAAACGATTTCAACTAAAGCCCAAGGGCGCCGTCCAATTCGTCCTGATCACTAACGTCATCTGCCTGGCCTGCTACGCAATGTTGTTCTTCCTTGGCTGCGACAACCTTAAGATGGCTGGCACCACGATCCCATACTATACCAGCAATAAGCATGGATCTACTTTGGAACAGCCCTTCCAGGTTAACCTCACGGCTGCCTGCAACTTTGGTTGCGAGTGCCTGACCAGCGAGGTTGAACCAGTGTGCGGTAACAATGGACTCACCTACTTCAGTCCCTGCCACGCTGGTTGCACGGCCTTCTCGTCCACATCCAGCACCAACTACACCGACTGTGCATGTAAGCAGACTGACTTTATTTATTCTTTAAAAATATTAATAAATTATTAAAATTATTTATATTTTATAGGTGTTCGCGCCAATATCTCGAGCAGCATTTATCGTGGCGCTGGTGGCAGCCAGGCCCAGGCTCTTAGTGCCAACGAAAACTTCGCCGAGGTGACAGTGGTGCCGGTGGCCACTGCTGGTCCATGTGCCACGCCCTGCCGCACCATCTATCCGTTCCTTATACTTTTATTCTTCATGACATTCGTGGTAGCCTCTACACAGATGCCGCTACTGATGATTGTGCTGCGATCTGTGTCCGAAGAGGAGCGCTCATTTGCTCTGGGAATGCAGTTTGTGATCTTTCGTCTATTCGGTTACATACCGGCTCCCATTCTTTTCGGAAATCTTATCGACTCTACTTGCCTATTGTGGAAATCGTCCTGTGGCGAGAAGGGTGGACGCTGTCTTATCTACGACATTGAAAAGTTCCGATACAAGTAAGCATAGTTTTTATACTTTTTATAGTTCATAATCCAAATCATTTCTTTTTTTCTAGATATGTTGGTTTGTGTGCATCTGTGAAGTTGGTAGCATTTGTTTATCTTTATGGTGGATTGGTGGTTGGTGCGAAGGCGGAAGCAGCTTGAGAAAATGAAGCCCCTGAACGCAAGCGATCCAATCATAGGTTCCATCATTAGCCTAGACAAATGTAAGTTTGTAATAAAAACATCAAGTATTATTATTTTTAAGCAATTTTCTATTATTTTTCAGTATTTGAAGAGAAACTTTCCGGCGCCGAGCCGCCAACTGCATTTGTTGGAGGTGGAGGAGAACTGATCATACCCACAGAGATACTTCGCCATTCCCGTAACGATTCGCGAACCATGCAAATGGATTACTGGTAAGTATCTATAAAAACCAATCTTAAAAAAAATCTAACTAAATTTAAATTTCCTCAGCTACGATAAATGCGGTCATGTGGTAGCTCCGGCAAATACCTGCAACCAGCCGCAGACCAAGTCAAAGAAACACTTCCGAAGCGCCTCGTGTGACGTAAAGATGATCAAGAGCTTTGCCAGAGATCATAATTCGACCAGCGGGCCAGCTGATGCGGCTGGTCAGGATGCTAGCGGTGCCAGCACGAAATATAAGAATCTCAAGAAGTTCCAAGCGCACACGCGTAATCATTCGACAGATCTGCACGACCCCAGCCAACCCATTCGATATATTCAGAACCAACTTCGGCCGCAGGACTGTGCCGAAGAGGATGATGACGATGAGTTGACCACCGGTTGTGGGCACTTTGTTAAGAAGCACTCACGGAACCATAGCTACGACCAAATCTACATGCCGAACAATATTCGTTTCGATGCGGATTTCCTGCGACATCCCCATTCCCATCATAATCCCAAGAAGAATGTGAATGTACTGAAAAACGTGGTGACGGATATTGGCAAGCTGAAGAACTCGAATGAAATTGAAGCTGGTGGAGCTGGATCTCGTGGTCATTCCCGGAACAACTCGAAGGATTTGAACACCAAAATTTCTAGTGCATCTACTGCGAACAATGCTTCTGGGCTGGTTGGATCGGAAACCAGCAGTACGGGTCTAAGTGTGCTAAGGCATCGGCGTACCAACTCCAAGGATCTTAATTACCAAATCCTACCGGAGGCGACTACATCTAGTTCCTTGGCAGGCCACCCGCATCCCCAGCACACGCGGAATACGTCACATCACAAGATTCAAATTGATGACGATCGAAACGAACTCATCAACGACAACGATGACGAAGAAGAGGAGCGCTCGAATTGTGCTTAGTGTTATGTCGAATAGCTTTAAGCTAGGATTATCGGTTTGTGGCAAAAACAGCAGTAGCAGCAATGGCTTCATTCCTGGCCATAAACGCCTCATCGGGTTTAAAGTGTGTGCGTGTTCCATGCCCGTTTCCTGACGAAGTGACTCAACTCTCAGCTGCTCATTGTACTTACGACCGAGTGTTCAAATCTACTTATCATAGTAGAAGGCATCTGAAAATAGAAATCCTTTTTGATATATGCAACATTCAACAAGAATTCGTCTTCAAATCCGAATCCGATATGTTTACGAATACACTTGCAGATAATATTTATGTAACCAGGCGTTAGAATAGGTATCCTAGTAAGCAAATAGCATATTTTAGGCATAGGCGTAGATCGTTGTGATAGGAATATTTTGTATTGTATTTTTAGTGGAGTGTAGATCCGTGAAAAGTCGATTAAGCGTTCGAACTGCTCGATATGTTTCGCTTTTAGATCGACTTTGTGCAATCTCGGTTTCGAAGTGAGACGATTGACTGAGAACCAGTTAAAGAATGGAAAGTGAACCGAATAGCAAATTACAATGTTTTTTAATAATCCGAACATGTAAAAACAATTGTCAATGGAAATTGTGCTGTGAAACAATGTGTGAGTATAGAAAAAAAACAAAAATAATACCCAAACGAAATCGTTGAAATAGAAAGGATGTTGGAAATACGCTGAATGTAATTTTTATGCAATACATAATTTAGAGAATCTTTGTGGAGTAACACAAACCACACATTTTGCATCCAATAGAAGGGTTCGAATGAAGCATTAGGTCTGGACTAGTTTTACTACAAAAAGAAAATCCTAAATTCCCTGTTTTAATCGTAGCGAGAAGAGGAAGTCTAGCCTAGATTTTAAAACCGAATGATGTACTTTAAATGCGATAATGCCTTAACAAATATCAATTAAATATACACGCAGATTAAATCAGTATCTCAACTGAAAATGGGAATTCAGCCGGTCCATTCGGTTGTTTTCCCCAGCACTGCCCGAGTGCAAGACCCCCAGTTAGCCCTAAGTGATGCAATCTAGGTTAATTAGTACCAACTAATTCTATGTTTACACCAGCCAGCCACATATAGTAGTGTAGGAAAGGAAGCAGAAGAGAGAGAGAGAGAGTAGCTCCCCGAGCACTAAATAAATACATCCATATAAATAAATATATATATGTATACAATTCTACGTTAATTAAGTACCTACGCGTAGCTAATAATTCGTATCGGGTTATGTGTTTGTACAACATTACTTATACATTATTGATGAGCGATTTTAATACAGGCCACACGAAAGAATGTGAGTCTTAGGTGCAAAAATCATATATATCTATATATATATGTTTATGCGAAAAGTATGTTTAAGGAAAACATATTTTTACTTAGAGAAAATATTGCAAATAAACTAAATAAGAACATGTATGAAATGAAAACAATGAGACTCCTGAAAACAAAAAACAAATAAACCAATACTGTAATAGACAAAAGAAAAGTTGTTTAAATATAACAAAAAAACATTTAGTTGGTAAGCAATTTGATTTTTTCTCAGTTTGAAATTTTGGCTCAGTGGCGCCAATGGTATTTGGTTCTCGGTTCCGGAACTATATTAATGGTGTGACCGCAATATTTACCTAACTGTTCTAGCAAAGACTCAAACCTGGCGTTGCTTACATGAAAATATTAAAAATTAAGATATAATATTAATTTTAAACTTATTTCAATGTTTACATATTTTATAATTATTTAAAATAAAATATTAGCTACATGAAGTAACCAAAAAACTTAAATATTGGAAAAATTACTAATATGCAGGTTTTTAGTTCTTAAATCGACATCTTAGCCGCCAAAAGGAATATTTCTCGATTTTCTTTACCTAAGGGATTGAATTAAGAGAAAGAAACTGCTTTATCCATTAAAACTTTACATTATTTAATTTAAATATTCCGAAGTAATCGAATAATTTGACAAAGAAACTCTACCAGCGATAACCATGCAATCCAAACTCGCTGATAGCTTATCTTTACTGTTTTCCTCATCAAAATATTCTTCAATTGCTGAGTAATTTTTACACTTACAAGCTAATATTATAAAAATTAATCTAATGGAGAAACGTTCCACATCTGCAATGCAGGTTCTCTATGCAGAACTGGCAGCTGGTGCGTATAAGCAATATAATTGCGTATACGCAATGTACTGAAACTCCTTTACAGCAAAGTCACGAAATGCCCAACTGGAGGAGGAGAACATTTTACTGCGCCATCGCCTGAATCGCGCGTCTGCCAGCCATAGTACCAATGCAGCCATTAATGTGGAGGCCAAGATCATGGCCTTCCAGTTAGAAGAGGAGCGTGATCAACTGGTAGAGACAGTGCAGCAGCACAAGAAGAAGTACAACAAGTTGCATGATGCCTACTTGGAGAAGGTTAAACGGTGTCGTGCCTTGGAGGAAATGTTTAAAAGGCAGAAGACACTGACTGGCTTGGTGATGAAATCCTCTCTAGATCAGCGACATGCTGGTGGGTTTTGGATTTGCTTTACCTCTTTGAAGCCACTCAATATATTCCCCTCTAGAGCAACGAATGATGTTAGAGAAGCGTCAGTCAGCCCAGAGTGATCCCAATGAGCTAGAAGACCTAAAAACCAAAGTGGAGAAACTGCAAAGGGCCTTGGATGAGTCATACGATATTATCGATGAAATGGACTTTGAACTTGAGAGTGTAAGATCCTTCCAAAAATCGTTAAGTTTTCTTAATAGCTATTTATTTTCCAGGTAGAATTACTGGAAATGCAAAACCAAAGTTTGAGGGATGAATTGGCTGCCTTAAAGGCAAACTCAGAAGCAGGAGCAGTAAGCCTTGCAGCTTCAGTTCCAAACGATGATGATCCTCCGCCTAAGTATGAGGAGGGTTATCCTGGAGCCCATCACAAAGCGGTGCTATCTCGTCAAAGCTCTTCAAGCAGTGAATCCGGCCCACAGGTTGACGATCACGATGCGGAAACTATGGAAAGAGCTGTTCTAACCCATAGTGTAAGCTAAAAGTCTATGAAATCTAACCTCGACTTAAGACGATTCTTTATTTTCAGCTTATTCAAACTGTGGAAACTGAGAGTAATGCTCTGAGACGAGAACTACTAAGATCCCGCTGCCAAAGAACAATACGTGCCAAGTTGGAAAAAGAAAGTGAGGATGCTGATTAAAACAAATTATTGGCTTAACCCCATAAGTTAAATCGCAAAACACCTACAAATAAACTACTAACCCATAGATTGTAATGAAAAGTAACCATACCTAGGCTGATGAAACTGATCACTAACTTTACGCAAAGCTGCCACATTGAAGACCCCGTTAGCTGTCTAGTTAGTCCGCTGGAATAACCCAGATTTAGACCCAACTACGCCTAACAAGTGCGCATACCAGAGATTGCTTTTAAGGTTCGACAAACACGCTCTGCGGCTGCGTTAAATCAAAAACTTTTGAGATAGAGTAACCTGGTTTTTCGGCCTGAGCGATTAATTAAAATTTTTGTTAATGGCATCGAACGGGTTGTGTGCCAGATCACTAGCCAAAAGGATTTGGCCTCTGAGCCATGAAGGTTCCAACCCCCAATCCCCTATTTCATCTTCCATCTTCGATCTGAGTGGCGTGCTATCCATTAAAACATGACAATTATTTTTATGACTTAATGCAGTCGGAGGCCTTGTTGCCCAATGCCTAATGTTGCAAATTATTGACAAAGTAAATTAATCTGCACATTTGTTGGTTAGACCAGACAAACTAGCGCGACACCTCTAAGATCACTAGGCTCTCCCACTTGCGGCATATTCGTTTGGGTGGTTATCGATTGGCTGCAGTTGGAGAAAACTTATAAAACCAAAAACATCATGAATTTATAACCTAATATTATAATTTTCTGTATTATTATCATATAAGAAAGAAATACATCGATTTTGAAAACTTAAAAAATAATAAAATGAGCAGCTTTCTGAAAGTTAAACCAATATCTGAAATATTTCAAATTAAACAACAAAAATAATTAGCAGGGTATCTTCCTTGACTTAATACATGTTTTTTTTTAACAAAATCCAAGTTAATTTCATGGATAATTTTGCTCACTGTTTGCCAATATTGCTTAGACTAGTGCGAACCACACTTTACATATTTCTTGTTTAATTATAATTTTTTCGGGGCTCAGTTAATGAGCGCGGTCCACTTGCGCCGGCGATCTTGTTTGGGAGGCGCGTGGCGAAAAGCGACACGCCACTTTGGGTGGATTGCCACACATCTAAGTTGGATCGCAAAGCAGATCTGGCCTGGTGAGTGCTCGTATATAAGCAGCCTAGGACTACCTAGATTAATTACTTCGATTCCGATCTTCGTCGAGTGCATTTCAATATCCAAAGAGTTCTGAGAACCAAAAAAATGATGGGAAAAGTGAGTTAAGCAAGGTGATCCTTTTCAGGGAGTGCAATACATAGTGCTATTTCCTTTCTAGGCTACCTATCTGTTGTACCTGTGTCTGGCCAGCGCCGTTTGGGGCATTGAATTGCAGCCGGAGCCGGACTATGGACCAGTGGCCTATGAGTTTCAGTGGGCGGTGAATGATCCTCACACTGGAGATATCAAGAGCCAAAAGGAGACTCGTAAGGACGACAAGGTCGAGGGTGTGTATGAGCTGATCGACTCGGATGGCTATCGTCGGATAGTCCAATACAAGGCGGATGATCACAGCGGTTTCGAGGCCATTGTCCAGCGTGAGCCCACGGATATCAAGATACCGCTGCCTGAGCCCCCTAAGAAGCTTCTGGCTGCCAAAATCCTTACACCTGTGCTGCCGGTGGCTCCACTTGTTCACTACGCTGCCCCCAAGGCTATCATCAAGCAGGAGCTCTCCACCGGAAACTATGTCTCCGTTTCCGGACCCACAGCTCAGTACAAGTACTGAAAAGGATCTAGCCATTGACCATCAGCATCACAAAACCATTACGAAATCTTCACTGCCATATAACATAATTTAATTATAATTGCGCCATTGATTGTATAATTAGGTTCCATTCACACATACTGTATATAACTAACTATAAAGATGCATCCCATTCAATCTGTTCGCAGAGGAACACAAAACAAAATTGAATTTTAATGGTGAGGTAGTCAGTTTTGAAAGATTTTAAAATGATTCAAGCAAAGTGTGGTGAGAGAGCCATCATATAATTTTAAAAAATTCAACATGCTTAATGGGAAAAAAAATGATGAATGAAAGCTGAATGAGAAATTTAGTTAAACTCGAGTAAGAGTCTGACTTTTCTGTGAAATTTTCACATTTTATGGTAGAATTAGCCGATTGATGTCTCATAAGACGATGTGTCATCTCTCAGGTGGCTCTGTATTTATGATAAGTCGAAACTAATGCTATCTCCGCCAGACGCGACATGGTCCCATAGATGACTCTAATCTCACGTACCTGTTGTCACTTCGGGGGCGTCCAATTACCGGTGCAGTCGACGTCGCCGATGGAGATTCTATTGGATTTGGCTAACGCTCTAGCCAAAGATCAATGGAGCATCAGTGCGAAAATGGTCGGCTCACCGGAGACACGAGAACTACTGGTTATATTGGTATTGGCCTTTGGCTTTTGCCTGGGTGGCTCAAAGGATCCAGATGCGGATGCCAAGTGGATGGCACCTCTAAAACAATATGGTTACACTGCCAAGCATCTGAAGAATAAGGTGGAGCATGGTGAATTCACCACCTTTGAGCTGGGTACTCCCAATTATCGGATCCTGAACCCCGAAGACGAACCGGAGTACATAACCGCAGATCAACCGCATTACCAGGAGATGTTGAAACGACTGACAAGTGCTCAAAGTGGAACGGATACTATAGATATGGAAATGGCTGGTCGTGGCGATACTGTTCGAGAGGTTCCGGATCAAAGCCGATCCATTAAAAAGTCTGAAATCCAAACGACAGTTAAACCAAAACCACATCTCCGAGCTAATCGCTGGGAGAAACTAAGGAAGCGAAGCTCCATTGAGAGGAGGTTCAAGGAAGCCATGGAGACTGATGCAGCAGATGGGCGAAGTTTTATTCCGGATATTCAGGTTTACTCCGGAGCTAGACCATTTCAAAATCGTGTGGCCAATCTGAATTAATCGAAATTCGAAGTTCGCGTTGTTCTTAGTTTGAAATTTATTCATGATTTTGTTTTTACATTGAATTTGAAGCAGTTTTTTGTGAATAAATATCAGATGGTAGTTTGAACAACAAACATTTTTATTGGGTAATATTAAAACAAACTAAATTGAAGATTTTTGTGCGTTGACGAGAAGGTTGAAGTTCAACATTTTCGCTGATTTGTAGAAAATGCATTTATTTAACCAATATTTACTTCCAACTTAAATAAAGAGTAAAAATTTTCTATCTTGCATTTAAAACTTTAATCAGAATCGTACGTGTGCATCGAAAGTGCAACCAAAATTTGATAAGTTAATCGAGCTCAGACAATAATATCAGATCTAGGCCAAGACCCAGAAATTATAAATCCCCAAACTGCTGGCAAAGATTCAGCAGAACCGAAAAAAAACTCAGAGTGTGCGGAATAAGCAACGCTAAAAACTACTTTATAAAAATATAAAAAGGATAAAGACAAGGCTTTTGATCAGTTCAGTTAACCAGTTTGACAGCTCCTAAATATCTTATAAACATTTCAGAATATATTTTAATTTTTTTTTTAATTTTCAATTAATATATTTAAAAAAGATAAGTTCTTTCCACTGATCCGCAAAAGGTTAATGTCATGAAGCCATGAACTAGAGGTCATAAAAAAAAGATATGTTTGTTAGCCATGTTCATGATTGGGCCAACTGTTGTTGTCGACCACTCGATGCTATCGACGAGTGCGGGTAGAAATGCTTGAATGTGTATTACGGAAGCGGCGGCATCTGGTGATTGTGTGGCCCCCGGGCCCATTCCGGACCACCACGCCCCGCTCCCAACTGCACCGATCCATTGGGGCGTTTGGAACGTGACGCGGTCAACGCTTCCGCGACCCATTTGTTCGGCGTTGTAAGTGCTTCTACGAAGAAGCTCTCGGCCAGCGCAGCGTATTTAAGAGCTATTCAGCAAATTGCATGAAAGAGTTTCGCACGCGACAGACCAACAGCCAACAAGTGCCATCCAACTGACGATCCGGGACAGAGCAATTCCAGCAATTGTAGGGAAAGTGATCGCTATCTGAGGGAGAGATTCAGTGAAAAGGTAAGAAACTGGGCCAATCGATTTGGAACGATTGCCATGGAGTTTTGACCCATTTTTAAACGGCATTTTCCCCTCTTCAGATGTTCGAACGCTGCAATTTATTGTTTATGGCCGTTCTGATGGCTTCGGCTTTGATGATCCAAGCCCATTTCCCGGAATACTGTGCTGAATGTGAGCAGGAGGTGTGGGAGCAAGTGCCATGCAGCGAAGTGCCTACGACGGTGGCGCCGACAACAACTGGAGGATCGACCACAAGTCCACCCACCACTGCGGTGTATAGCACTACGGAACATGTGTACCCAACCACCACTAGTGCTCCACCCACGCCCACAGAGTACACAACCCAGCCATCGGCATACAAAAAGTGCTACTGCGAGTGCAAGCTGGGTTGCAAGGAGTTCTGCCGCAAGGTGGTCTCCTCCGGTCCCAAGCAGCCTCTCACCCAGATCTCCTCTATCGGAGACTACGCTCCCGGAGGACAGGTGGAGTACACACATGTCCATCAGCGCAAATACTTCCCCAAGTACGGAGGTGATGGTTATGGAGGTTTGGTGGTACCTGTGAATGGACCCAAGGCATATAAACCCTATCCTTTGGTCTACGAAGAGGCAGCTGCAGCTTCTGCTGCTTCACCGGCTTCCATACCATCTGTGGCTTCGTCGGTAGCATCTTCTCCTAGCGTGGCCAACGTAGTTGCTCCCAATTACACGCTGGAGGAGTTGGCCCAGCTACTGAGCACCGCATACGGTAGCAAGAAGGGGTATCCAGCCAGCGTGCCATCTCAGCCACGTCCTAAAATTCAGCTTCAGCCAGCTCCTGCGGCACCTCCATCCGTTTACTATTCCCCTGTTCCAGTTCCGGTTTATAGGAAAAACCCGGTTCCCCTTGTAAGCAAGGTAGCTCCAGTACCCAAAATCACCTCCAGCATTAAGTACGCCGCCTCAGCGGTCTCCTCCTCATCATCGGGTGTTTCAGTGGCCAAGATTAAGACACCCTACGAAGAGAAGATTGTTGTAGCCACTCCGCCTCCAATTTATGACAGGACCACATCCTATCCCATTGTTGAGGCACCCAAGGAATACGTAGTACCTCAAACTGAGGCGTATCCCGTTGTCCAGAGCCAAACGGAATCATATCCTACGGAATCCTATCCCAGCCACAAGGATTCGTATCCTAGCATTACGGAGGCCTATCCCAGCCAAACGGAATCCTATCAACCCCGTACAGAATCCTATCCCGTGCCGGAACCTCAGCCGGAGGTCAAGCCATATGGAGGGCCCGAATCAGGCCCTGATAAGCCATCCTCAAACTTTGACCTGGCCATTGATAATTATCTGAAGGACTTTGGATATGGCAACCAAGGAAGAGGCTATGGGGACTACTAAACGCCAGTCGTTGTTGCTAGGTTTAGGTGTATCTCTAGGCTAGAAATGTTTTCTAGGTGTCCTTTTTATTTATTTATCTATTTTCACCCTTGACTTGTTGACTTAATGATGATTAAACTATTAAACTAAAAATTTAAAAATTTGAGTTTCACTTGGATTAGTGAAATTTTGCATACTTTTGGGCTGTATATATAAAAGTTTACTACGAATTAAAAAGGAACTTTTAATTTAAACATTTTCCATGTTAAAATCTAAAAAAAACAACATATTATGGTTCGGCTTTGACGCTTTTTATTATTTGTATTTAAAAAGTTTCCTTCATTTGCATTCATTTTTGATATACTTTCTGGATGCTGATTACATTGAATAAGATTATATCTTACGTTTTTTTCTTTCGCCAGCTTGTTTCTTGGTTATGCCTGCCAATCTGATTAACATATGCAGATATATACACAAATTAGATTTATTAAATTTCGTATGCAAATATATATGTTTATGCATTATGAATATTTTGAAACAACGCTTATATAACCGTTGATCAAGGCGAATCCAAATAGTTTTTGTTTTTCGTTTCAAATTTTCTTTTTCATTTTCTCAAATTGTTACGCAGCAGCCAACGATTTTGCTGTTTAAGTCTTTCAATTTGTAGGGTTCTAGCACTTGACCGGCTTAGATTTTCCAACTTTTAAATCATATTGGGATAATGTTATTCGCCCTTTTATCGATACACAGACGCAGAGACAAAATAGCCGAGGAAAGCAGCAAGTTGAATAGTTCACTATAATTGCACTTGATAGTATATATATATATATATATATATATAGATATATATATTTAAGAAACGTAGTAATAAGAACAAATTGCAGATTACACTTGCAAAGATGCGAATGTGCGGTTTTATTTCTTTTCAATAATGTATGCATATAAAATAACAAATAAAAAATGAAATAATAATATTTAGAACATATTCGTACATCGTAAATGAAGTGAAACTAAAAACGATAAATTGCAACACTTTTGAAATAATGACATCGTCCCAGCTATGAATTTAAACGTAAATTATCGAGAAGAAAATAATTATAGTTATACGATATTTTAAAATGTATATATACAGCTTCATTCATTAACAATCTCGATCCGTTATCCGTTTTATCCGCTTTATATAAAGTTTGTTCTTGAATTTTCATTCTCGAATTCAATTTTGTTTCGAAAATGTTGAACTGGTAAACCAAAAACATAGCCCAAGATACTTGATATCTTGTAGTTGCTCTGTTTATTTTTTTATGATTTTTTTTTTTTTTTTTTTGCTGGTGCTGTTTTCGGTCCCATAAAATTTTGCTAATTATACAAATATAGGTGTCACACATCGTTACACTTTTAATATATATATAAATATGAATAGTTGTATTATTCGGTTGCCTTTTGTTTTGATTAAGTTGCTGACTAATGCATTTTCAATTGCAAATAGGAAAAGTTTCTTGGTTTTTGTTTGCCTTTTAACTTTTGTTTTATGGTATTACATTAAGTAGCCAAAGTTTAAATAAATTACGCGTTTATTTTTTATCATGATTAAACATTGATTAGGTTAAGGTTTTCTGTTTTGTTTTGTTTTTGCCTTTATCTTTACATTAAATGTGTAGAAAAATTCGTTAAATTGATTTGCATATAGTTATTCGATCTCCACTCTAGCTTCTGGTTAGCCACAAAATACAAATTTCAATTGGCTCGACAAATTAAATGATTGGCTGCACAGCCACGCGGTTTAAGTATGTATTTAGTTTGCTACGATTTGTGCATTGCAGTTCTCCGCTATTAGTTAATTTTATTATTTATCCATTATTTGGCTGCAGTCTAGACTTTTAATTCGATTTCTTTTTCCCATCTTTAGCGTGTTTCCTCATGTTATACATATGATATACATTTATGGTACTTTAGATACTTAAGTTGCTTTTTTCCTTTTTATATAAACTGTTTACTGCAAATGCTAAAAACTTATTAGCTCTCATCCCCCGACGAAAAGTGTGTGTGTTGGCCCAATTTTTTTGGCCACTCACAATGTTCACGAAAACGGCGAAACTTGGACTATCGATGGCAGCCAAAACCACTGTGCCTCAAAGCCAGTAGCTGCCAAAACCAAATCCGCCAGTATCAAGCGTCGTCCTCGGCATCCTCCTCCGGCGCTAGGTGAGCATGTAGACAAACAGCAGCGCCAACGCGACGTTGAAAATCAGGACGAGCAGCATCAGCTGCTGGCGCACAAACCAGTCCTATGGAGGCGAAAGTTATATGAATTAGAATGAGGGAATTTATGCTTTATAGAATTACAATTTCAGAATTATTTGGTGTCAAGACAAGAAATGAAAACATCTATAAGCTTCTCCTAATGGTAATCTTATAACAAGTTTGCATTCAAAACTTTAACTTCACAATTGTTAATTCAAACAACAAAAATGAAAACAAAATTTTTAGATTTGATAGATCTAAAAGCATTTCTTCTCTTAAGCAAATCTTTATACTTTGCCAGCTTTTAAATAAAATTCGCATTCATTATTAAAAATATTCATAAATTGGCGCTGAGTGAAAGACTCATAAACTATGGCTGATTGCGCCATTAGCGTTGAAATATCAACCTATACTAAATGCCTTCACAAAGTTCTTTTAAGTTAAGTGAACTGATTGTAAAACCATTTAAGTGAAAGCAAATCAAATGCGGCATTTGGCCAAGTTATCTGTGTATCCTATAGTATCAGTGTTCTGTCACTCACCTTAACCTGTGGACTGACCAAATACAGCAAGGGATTTGCCTTGAGGCGCTCGTTGACCTCGATCTGGCGACGCACTGCCTCCCGGCGGGCAGAGCCCAGGGCGGACACTTCCTCCCGGCTCATGGCCTCCGTGGCACGCGGCAGTTCCTGGAAATCGGGCATTGATTTTTTCCGCTGCAGCGTCACATTAATGGGCACTGACTGCAAATAGGTAGATAGAAAAATGTTCCACAAATTATTTCCGGCAACCCAAGATGATAAGTTAAGGTTTCTCCACCTCCACAGGCGGCTCAACGATCCAGCTTTCACTGGCACGCCTAGCCAACAGAGCCGGCGAGAACATAAGGTCCTCCTCATCCTCTTCTGGATACCAATCCATTGTCTCTGGACTTTACTTTGTGTTCTTTGTTGGGGGGAAAATGTTCTATGACAGCAGCTAAATAGCTGCTTGCATAACGTTGGACAATTTGTGTAATCTTTCTTCTACAGGTTTTCCAACTTGTAAACGAGTTGGACATGGCGTTCCGCCTTTACTGAACACCGAGCGACAATATACGGACGCGGAGAGTCACCGTCTCCGTTGGGGAGCCAAAAATAGTCGAACAACCCGCCAAGACGGCACTGAGCCAAAACAACAACGGATATTGTCGCTGACTCTTCGCACAAAATTGCTTTCACAATTCCTATGTATTTTTCTGAGTTTTTTGAATGGCGAACATATATATATATATAATTATATTGCCACTCGATGTTTCAAAGGGGTTTTCTCAAAATCGAATTGCTAATCCGTTGGGGCCGACGCGTCGTTTGCTACTAGTTAGCCATCACATTTCGGAAAATCGTCGCCACTAGGGGCCACAAAAAAAATAACCAAAAAATAACGAAGCCAAAGCAAAGGCAAAGCGACACTTCCCGAGAGGATTTATTTATTGCCATGTCGCCGGCCTTCCAACGGCCACTTGTGGAGCGTTCATTCCGCCAGAGAGTCGCCGCTGAAAGAGACCTGAGAGTTCTACAGATTTTCAGAGATTCAGCGCGGCACGCATGCATTCCAACATGGCCCGACGGTTGGCTGATCCGGCTGGCATGCATTCGTGCCCGGCTATAAATAGCCCAGAATGGGCACATGTTCGCCCCGAGATGGCCGAGAAATGTTTCAAAATGAACACTAAGTCTCCGGCTCTCACCAGTTTCCACTATCACTTTCTCCCCCGCACACGATGGCGTACGAATTAAGTTAATTGCTCGGATTAACTGTGTTATGAAATATTTTAGCGGGCAGCCGGCCCGGGAATTTAGCCATTCTCACTTTCTCTAGAGACTTTCAAGGATACTAAGAAGAAATGGGAGTGTCCAAATAACTCTCTTTGGATTTGGATCTAACTTTTGTTTTTTTGTTTTGTTTTTTGGATTTAACTTTTTTTCATGGTCATTTTAGGAAAGTTAAAAACTATAGGCTCACCACTCACCTTCATTTTCTTGCCGCCTCCACCACCGCCGCCTCCGCCTCCCCCTTTACCGCCCATGGCCATGCCCACCGGTGTAGCTGGCTTGGCCGGCAAATACAGGCTTTCCGTGCGTTTGGGTTGCGAGGGCGAGGGAATGATGTCCTGGCCGAGCGTCCGCTGGCGCAGCAGCACGTCCTCGAACGGCTGATTGGGCGATGAGAAGAGCGGCTCTGTCTTCCCCTGGCTAGGTGCCCGTCCTGCACTTCCCAAACTGGGTGTTCCGGCCCGCGACAGACGTCCGCCTCCCGTTCCCGAGGGCAGTGACCCGTTACCAGTCATGGTCGATGTTCCGGCTCCAGGTTGCGGGGTGGATCCGCGGAATACTGAGCCCGCCCGCGGGCGTCCATCAGGAGTGCTTGTGCCACCGTTGGTTACAGGATCGGCGAGTCCTGACCGGTCCAGGGATGTTTGCCGTGATCCGGCAAAGGCCCCACTCAGGCGACTGGCGGCCCGAGCATACCGATCGATGGAGGAGTCGCGACTCGGCGGCCGTTTGTAATGGTCGAAATGATCGATGGACGACTGCTGGCCCATTTGGCCCAACATGGGCGGTCTGCCGCTGCGCTGTTGCTGCTGGGCCGCGGCCATTGCGGCGGCATTGGCGGCCATTGCTGCAGCGGTGGCCGTTTCCTGGATTTGCTGTTGTTGCATCTGCGAGGCGCGACGCAACAGATTCGGGGCATTGTGGGTGGGCGAGGCATGCAGCGAGGGTTGCTGTTGGAGAGGCTGATGTTGCTGCTGGAGTTGTGCCTGTTGCAAAAGATGCTGCTGCTGTTGCAGCTGTTGTTGCTGCAGTTGTTGCTGCTGGAGAAGTTGCTGTTGCTGCTGCTGCTGCTGCTGTTGCTGCTGCAGGAGTTGCTGTTGCTGTGAGGACACCACCGGTTGATTGGTGCCCGCGCCGAAGGGCAACTGCGTCTGGTTCTGATTTGGTGCCTGGTTCTGCTTGAGGTTCGAGTTGAGATTGGGATTGATCTTGGCCTGGCCGGGCGGTTGCTGTTGCTGGAACTGATATGCAGGATTCATTTGCGGGTTGCTCTGTTGTTGCTGGTTCAGCTGTTGCTGCTGCTGGTGCTGCTGTTGGTGGTACATCTGATTGATGGCACTGATCACCTGGGCATGACTGGGCTGACCCTGGCTCACCATTCCGGACAGATCTGTCTGCGGCGAGACGGGCAGCTGTTGCGAGTACATCGAAGGTGGAACTGGGCATTCCGACTCCTGTTTCTGCTGGGACATGCGACGCTGCTGCTGTTGTTGCTGCTGCATGTTAAGATATTGCTGCTGGCGCTGTGCCTGCGTGGCATAGGCATCCGATCCGCTGCTGCTCGTTGGCGAGAACTGCCCCTGCTGCTGTTGCTGTTGCGTCTGCATGCCCACTCCCATTTTCACGGTTGCATCGGATGCGGCCGCTGGTCCCGGACGGAATCGCTCCCGTTCCCGGAAGCGCAACTTCTCGAAACGCTCCAGCACTGACGGCTTAAAATCGGGAGCAAATTCCCGAGCCATCCGTACCGCATTCTCGCAATCCATTCGAGCCTGTTCGGCAGCTGCATCCGCATTCTGGGCCTTAGCCGCTGCGGTGGCCATTCGGGAAATGGCCATATCGGAGCGCTGCATGGCCATCTTAAGGGCGCGCTGTGCCGAACTCAACGCTGCGGCGATTCGATCACGGAGCTTGCGCGAACGCGCCAGGAACAAATGCTTCTTCTTCTGGCTGGTGATCAGGATGTTGTTCTTGTACTTTCCCTCCTCGACGGTTCCGTCACGGAAGGTAGTAACGCCGTAACCGTGCTTCCGGTTGTTGTACCACTCGCCCTCGTACCTGGTGAGGATTTACATGGTTAATAATTAGCCAATAAATGAATGGGCTGTCACTTACTTGAGTCCATCACTGCGTTCAGCCACTCCGTGACCACAGCGCTTGTCCTTCTTCCACTCGCCCATGTACGTCTCCACAACAGTGGGATCCAGCTGCTCGTCGTCCATAGTGAAGCTGGCATTGGACTCTGTGTGGTTGGACCTGTGAAGAGATTAATATATATTATTAATGATTAATATATAAGGTTGACTTTTGAAGACACTTACTTAGTGGTCAGGTTGGACTGTTCGGATCCGGTGCTGATCCAGGAGGCCGAGGACATGGTGGAGCGAATGCTGCCAGACGCTATTGTTCCCCGTTTCTCCAGATCACCCGTGCTGCGCTGCTTGCGCATCTTAAGGCCCTGTTAGAGGATTAGGAGTAGTATTTAAGACCATCATCAGGAGGGTTTATACCCTCAAAACTCACCATAAGGAATCCCTTTTTACCGGTCTTATCCGTCAAACTGTTGCGTCGCACCGGCAGCTTATCGGACTTGGCCGTCAAAACGAATCCGCCTCGGATCTCCTCCGCCTTCTCCACAATCTTGGCCGCATTTCCATTCTCGCCACTCCGCAGGGAGCTCAGCGAGGCATGGAGGTTCTTGCGCCGATGGTGTGAGGCCAAACCAAAGGGCGCCGAGGTACGGATTCCATATCCATGTCGCTTGCCCTCCTGCCACTGACCCTGGTATTTGCCTGGAATACAAAAAAGTGCATCAAACGACTGCAGTCCACTTCGAGCGATTGTTATGCTAATGGAACTTCCATCCGCAGACCGCATTACCCACTTTCCCACGTTCTACTCTTCTGTCAGGAGAGTTGGCCTAAGTGAAATGCTTGCTCTTTCCAACGGGTTTCTATTAATGGCTCCACGTGCCATTTCCCTTCTGCCCAACGGCATTGCGTCTTAAGTAATACGGCCCATTTATATACAGAACAAAAATTAAATCTAATATCGATTTTATTTACACAAAAGCGGGAAAAAGCTGAGTATTTTATTAAAGGCAATCAACCGGTCGGTTAGCTATAAAAACTTAAACTTTACCACCTTTAAGCTTTTCAATTTTTCGAAGCTAATTTCTAGATTTTCTTTCAGTGTTTCCTCCCTTTGGTGACCAGGTTAATTCCGGAATTAGAAGTTTCGTTAGTTGATTAGGAAATACTACTTAGCCCTCGGTTAATGCTAATTGGTAGTTATGCGTCAATTCGTTTCGGGAAAAAGGTTGGCATTTGCATTTGCACTTTGACCGTAACAAGGCAATTCCCTAATGGTGGAAATGTTAGAACTTAGCCAGCTCTGCAGGCGGCCATGTGTTTTTCCCTGACTGAGAATTTCCCCAGAAAAAGCCGCACTCATGCAGGAAAAATTTACAAAAGCGAAAACCGAAGCGGGAAAGCCAAATATCATTGAACTGCGAGCAGGGAAAATAAAATATGACGTCAGGCTGGGGTCCGTTGTGTGTAAGGATGTGTGTGGGGCACATACACACACACACACACGTACCCACACACACCCTTGCGTTCCCAGAAATGATTACAGAAACGTCAAAAAAGTAAAACAACGGCGAGGGAACGAACTCATGTTCGCCGTTTTGAAAGTGAGCCAAAAACCAAACGCAAAATGATCTCATGCACATTACGTATACGCAGCGTATGGCGCCCAGGACCCACGCCCCATCCATCACTTACCGCCATCCGCGTAGGTCTCGCATCCGGACCCATCCTGATATCCCTCGTTCCAGGTGCCCTCGTATTTGGCCGTCGACACAGTGCTCTCACGTACTCCATACCGTCCCTTGTGCCCATCCTTCGACCACTCGCCGCGGTAGATCTGCCGACCGATCTGCTCCACGCCCAGTCCATGACGGCGTCCATTCTGCCATTGACCCTCGTAGTGTGAACCGCTGTAAGTAATAGGATGGGATTAAGGTGGCAGGTTGAGAGAACGTAAGATCCTTATTCATCGTGAAAGATTATTATTTTTAAGGAGAATCGTAAATTAATGAAAATTACGACGAAATATGAGCTCACTCACCTGGGCCATATGTACGATCCGGACACCTCGAAGCCATAGTTCCAGGCTCCGGCATAGGCACCCTGGTGTTTGGGACCCGTGCAGACACCGTGACCATGGGCCTTGCCTTCATCCCAGCCACCGCAATAGGTGCCACCATCCTCGAAGTCGAAGCGTCCGCCGCTTATGGGGCCACGCCTACCACCTGCCGCCTGCGAGGCGGCATAGGCGGCAAGGTCGCCGCCATTCTGCTGCTGTTGCTGCTGCTGCAGTAGCTGTTGCTGCTGCTGCTGCTGCTGTTGCTGCTGCTGCGACGTCAGTTGGCCAGCCTGTTGCATACTCGAGTCTCGGATTCTAAAGTTCAGGGCGGTTTAAAGTTCTTGTGGATACTGTTGACTTTGCCTTGGGCTTTTTGTGCCTTCGCCTGCTGCTCATTGGTTTTCCGCTCGATTGTTGCACTGGCTGTTGCCTCATCTGATCCTGGTTGCGATTTAGTGTCTAATAGTTCGTTTCGCTTGGTTTCGTTTGCTCTGCTTAACCTAGAGTGTTGTTGCTTTAGGGCTAGTTAATATATGTATGTTGTGTGGTTAAATTGTTGGGTTTTTCACTGAAACGCGAAAGTTGTTTTGCAATTTGTTTGCCCTTCTTCGATTTTCTCGGTTCGAATTCAAAGTTGTAAAAACCGAGCGTCCGATGTCAATGTCCTCTGACAGTTATGTTTCTCTATGCTAATGTCGTAGGCCATTCTTGGTCATTTACCAAAAATATGTCGGAAAGTGATCTGCAAAAAGAAGAGAAAATTGCTTAAAAAATTTGTTTTACAAAAATTCAGAGAAATTGCCTTGGGGTTTTCCAGGAAATTTATCGCATTATGCAATTGACTTTACGTAAATGCTAAGCGCACATTAAGGAGCCATAAAAATCTATCTTAGCTGTAAGTCAAATGCATAAACATTTACTACTGATTTTAGTGAATAAATCAGGGAACAAGCGGAACTAGCAGAGTGGGGAAAAGCGCGTTTAATTGATTTTTATCTGGCGAAAGTCTATAATATTTTGCCCCCCATTAGTTTGCCTTTTGCCACGCGCGAACTGCGATTCTTGTGTTCTGCAATGGGTGGAATGAATGCAAGGGGAGAGGTATATAGGGTTTGGAAAATACCTTGGAGAAAAACGAGGGCGAGAGGATGACGATGTGAGGTGACGATGCATTATGGATTCGAATGTAATTGCATTCGATTGCGGTTTCAACGGCCGCTCTCAGCGAGTTTGGTTTTTATTTTGCCTGGCACTGGCAGCAACCGAATTTATCATCCTACATATATATATTATATATATCTACGTATATCTGGCCGATGTTCATGTGTACTCAAATATGTGGATTTTGGTGTGTGCACGAGCCACGTCAAAGGCCGAAATTCTCAATGGCAGGCCACCTCTCGAGTGGGTGGTGGTTTGCTCAGCTCCACTCAGCTGTTTCCCCCTGGCACATATATATCTATCAATCTAGTTATATATGAATATAGATGTTTATGTATATACTCAGAGGTACGCTCGATAGCAGTAGTAGAAAATTACGAAAAGTGCATAGTAGCAGGCGAATGCCACGAAAAGCACTTTCAGTGTCTTCATCGCTTTGTTTTCTTTTGTCACTAATATTAAGATTTCTTGGTTTTACCCAATTTCAGGCAGGAGCCATGTGTTTTTGCCACTGGAACCGGTGAAATTTTTCGATGAGTAATCTCAGACTCTGTACACTATAGATTTTTATTATTATTGGTAGTTTTTTGGTTCTTTTTTTCTCTGCCTAAATGAGCGCCTTCACTAAACGAATGGAAATAATGAGTTTTGCCTTAATATTCCAAAAATTGATAATAAATCTTTAAAGGCCTTCATTGGCAAACAGTATTTTGGCTTATGGAATGTGGAAGAGTTCGAGTACAAAAGTATTTAACAAAAATAACTGACGAGGAAAAACGCGTATACGCCATGTTGCTGCATTTCTCGCTAAGTGCAACTCCAAAGAGCCCCCAAAGAATGAGGGGCTATAGCAAAAACTTGAAAATTCCTTCCACTCAATCGGGAATTCAGACGAATTGCAATTCACTGGAATGTTGGGTACTACATCACTGTTGTTTGAACTATTTGACTGCCCGGTCTTGTTTACTTTAATCATCTTGCAACACGACGTATTCGGCAAACATTCAGCTTAATTTTTTGGCTTTAGTTTGTGTGTGGTTCGGTCGGCGGGCATTAGCTTCCACTGACTGCTTCTAGGTTTTTATTGTTCTTTTGCGGTCGACGCCAAAACGATTTGGGTTTTTCGAAACGAGATGAGTCGAGACAAGACGCCAGGAGAGGCGAATTCTTCAGAAGCTTTGTTATTAATAGACAACGTACACACACCGAGCGGAATCAAAAAAAAAAAATAAAGAAAAGAAAGGAAAGAAAAACGTTCGGGGAATGGTGTTGAACAAAGAAGGGTGTCTCGCTTTCTCCTACCCACCCAGAGTCTGGCAATGTTGTTTTGTTTAAACATTAATGATGATGAAAACACACGCAACCAGGAGCAAGTTCTCCTCTCTATCTTTGGGTTTGTTTAAAACACAATTTGTTTCTGAGCCGAAGAGATTTGGCCAGAGGATTGCAGCAACAGGCGGAGCGTGTTTATGGCCAAGTGAGTTATGTTTGCACACCTGCTGGAAACTGGCAGTGATGATGAGAGAGCTATACACTACTATGTAGTTGGCCGAATGATGTAGGGAAACTTTCTTTTAAGCATAAAGGAAACTGTATTTATTTTTCATTTTTAAAGGGGTACATTTTGTATTGAAAATATGTTGAATTTGTCAAGAAATGTGGATAGAAGAAACTTCCTGATTTCCATTCATAAGCCAGGTGTAAAATGTTTTCCCACCAAATGGGAATGGAAAATCCAAGGAAGTTGAAAGCTGCCCATAAATTGAATCTTTATCGCTTAGACAACAAATAGAGCAATCATTCCCGAGCAGCCACAGCCTCAGTAAATATTTCCCAGGGCATATTATCACTCTCTGATAAAGAACATTTACGTATGAGCATTTATTTATACCCAGGCCAGCGGCCAGCGGCCAGCGGCCAGCGGCCAGAAAAAAAACAACAACACATTGCAAAAGACGGGGCGGCATGTATCATTGTTATTTTAAAAGATTTTCGAACAAAGCTAAAGCGAAAGCAAAACCAAAACCAAAACCAAAAGGCAAACAAAATGGGATATAGTCGAGAACAACTGAACTGAAATTCGCTCGCCGAATTTCGAGCTAACGAAAATATTCGTAATATTGTTCAACCGTATTTTAGTGCCTTTGCCAAAGTCTATTTCATTTTCACTCTGCCTGCTGCCTCCTGCCTGTTGTTTTTCTTTTCTTTTCATTTCATTTTCTGGCAAAACTGTCCCCGCCCGCGTTTTCTTTTTCATTTCGTGTTTTCTGCCTTGGGCTAGATGGATAGAAAATTAAATAATAGTCCACTGACTGACGTCGATGTTGTTGATGAGCGTTGTTTGTTGTTGGATGGATGCGTTTAGCATCTTGCATTGTGCTTTTGCTGCATTTTAGTTTAGACAGCCTGCACTTTTAATCAATTCGCACTGCACTCTCTCAGGCACACTTACACACACACGCACACATTGGCATACAAACACACACTCACACACACACACACACTCGAAAAGCGAACACGCAGCGTTCAGTTTTTGGTATTTTTAGCATATTTTTTCGTACAACTCGCACTATATTATATAGAAGATGGCCGAGCCAGTCAACAGCAGCACATTCTCTAAATTGAAATTATTTATAGGTTCACATAAATTAAGTATTAACACCCAACAGGCCCGACTACTGTAGTTAGTCCACCCCTTGCACTTTGAGGTTTTTCTCATGACACGATTTTTCTTTTTCTAGGAGAGGGTATTGACTGAATTTTCCTCTAAAATAGCCAGCGACATCCTGCTGACTCCTTGGCTTATTGATTACTTTCGATTTACATGGCCGCTGGCCGTGTTTTCTGTGTCTTTACAATTTGGTTCAGAGGTACTGAATAGAACCCATTGCGAATATTTAGCACTCTTGCTAGCTGTTCATTTCTCAATTAACTTTTGCATCCAGCTCGTGCCGTTCGTTAATCTATATTGTTTTATAACTTATTTAACGCAACGAAATTTTCCACTCACACACGCACAGAAGCAGCGAAACTCGGGCAAATTTGTTAAGAAAAAAAATATGTGAAATCGGAAAAGAGTGAGTGTGCGGTGTGTGTGTGTGTTTTGGCCGCACAAACACACTTTAAAAATAGCAAAAAGTCAAAATACTAAAATTCGAAAGTTTGATTTTGAGTTAATAAGTCCCGTGCCTTGGAAAATGCAGCCAATTCCAAAAAGAATGATCATCCGGTCAGCTGTTTTTCTTTTGCTGGAGGAGCGGACTTCGCTCCGGATGCGGATGCGAATGCGGATATGTGCGAATATGAAGAGCGAACGGAACGGAACGGAACGCACGAGCGGCGGGCAGCGACTGGCGGTCGTTCGAGATCGGTATCGGTATGGGGATCGCGTAGTAACGACAGCCACACGAGACGACGACGTCAACGATGGGAGAAAGAATTTCCCCGCACCACAGGGCTGCGAAACCTCTGCGAATGGGGATTATGCCCCGTTGCGTATACGCCCAGTTAAACTAACTTTCTTGTGCGGGTCCGACGCGACATTCGAGCGACACGTCTAAACGCCAAACGCTTGCAAAGCGAAAAGAAATCCCCGCCACTATCCACCAAATATTCAAGCCAATTTCCACGCTCTCGCTCTCTTTGTTTCTCAGGGGGATTCTGTCGGGAAATTCATTTCAGGGATCCCTCGCTGAATTCATTCGAGAGACAGACTGGAAAGCGACAAGTAAGCTAAAGAGGGAGAGAGAGAAAACCATGTTGCCACAAAATCAGAATCTGTAGCTTGTGCATTTTTTTCTCATTCTCTGCCTGAGGAACAGCTGTTACATAGCAGCAAGACACAAACACCCGGCTACTTATAGACCAGTATGAGCAATATTTGGGCATAAAGAAATATGAATGAACGGACGGATCGTGATCGTTGCCATGCATCCATCCATTGCAGCTATATAGATCGCAATAATGTTTACTATATATACGCGCTGCTTTGTTTGCCTTGGGCCAGGTAATTGGCTGAATGACAGGCGGTTAATGTACGGTTGACTCATAATCATCATCCCCTCCTATAAAGATCTCAGGAGAGGTGTGGCGTACTGAATACCATATTTACAGGTGATAATTGACAACGATTTGCGAATAATATCGGTCATGGCTACTCCAGGCCGGCTAATACCAGGGCATGCACTTTATGGCCACTGGCCAACTAGCCTTTAGCAGAAGTGCCCTGGCCAGAGGCCACTTAATATGCAGTCGACCGTCACATGTGCCCCACTTTCCTGTAAATGCAATTACCCCACATCTAGCTGGTTTTCCCTTCGGAATGGAGCTTAGGGAAATCCTCCTCTGACTTCTGGGGGGATGTGAAAACCGCAGCCACAAGAGTAGTAGCTCCTTTTCTGAGTCCCTACTCACTTCATCCCTTTCTCTCTCTCTGTGTTTGCAGTACACGTCACAGGCCATTAACTGGAGTACACAGACACGCACCCTCCTTCGAAGGGAGTGGATGTTAGCTACTGCTCCAAAGTAAACAGGTTATACAATTTCTAAATTAAAAAACAAACAAGCGAAGGGAATATCATGTCGTTCGCCTTTAGCAACT